CCGTAATTCCAGGGTCATAGGACTGACACTAAATCCATAGCTGCCAATGTTCGTTCGTAAAGCACTAATTCCATAGCTGCTATAGTATACTCATCGGGTACTAAATCCATAGCTACCAGTGTTCATCTAATTGGTACTAATAGCATAGCTACCAATTCCTAACAGGTACTAAATCCATAGCTACCAACGTCTAACAGGTACTAAATCCATAGCTACCGGTGTTTGTCCAATAGGCACTAAGTCTATAGCTGCCAATGCATACTCCCATCATCTTATATCTCTCGTCATTCATCTACCCATGTTATACCCAACATATTCGTATATATAAAATACGTATATAGTTTAAATCATTTAAAACATGTATAAAACGTTTATCCAGCATAGACAACAAATATTCAGATAATATGCACACATAGCACGTAGTTTATATAAAATAATTCATATCTATGTGTAAGATGAAAGGGAACTATGCACTCATATGATAAGGTGATGACTTGGTACTTGGACAACTCTTTGTTACTGTTAAAACTATTTCCCTCGGACAAAACCTAGTATCATTACCACTAGAGTTTAGTCTAACATTAATTGCGACTAATTAATAGTCTAGATATTATTATTATTATATAAGCGTTAAGAAACACTCTTATATAACTCATAATAATATCCCAAATACTCATTTTAATTTCCTAATAACGTTACTATATTAAAACATAAGCTATACAAAAGATAGGGTAGGCATAGCTCACTTAAAGCGGGTTTTTTTTCGCAAAACTGGGCTTCACTGGAGCAGCGTTTCCGAGTTGAAAGGCTCCTCCTCTAGGAGCTTCCCGATGCTCCGGGACTTGCTTCTAACACCTTGGTGGTGCTAGGGAAAAACCTTGAAGGTTTGGAGGTATTTGGGAGGAAAGAAGTGGAGTGTTGTGTAGAAAATGGGAGATTTTCGCCTCTATTTATAGGCTGCCAGCGCCGAGTATGCCAAGCGTACTCAAAAATTACGCTAAGCATAATGGTTACGCTGAGCGTACTCAAAATTACGCTGGGTGTAATGTGCCACGTGTCACCATCTGGTGGCTAGCCTTGGGGAGGAAGCAACGGCTGTGATCGCGCCACGTCACCCAAGGACAATCATGGGGATGAATTAATAAAATACCAAGGACAATCATGGGGATGAATTAATAAAAATTGTTGATGAAGCTATTAAAGAAATAGAGACTCCTCATGGGCAACCTATTCCAAATGTAACTAAAATACCAAGGACAATCAAAACCTTTTGATGCTCCATTCTAGGGGGAGAGTTCAACTCCAAACCGTTAAAATTGCTCACTCGTGCTCAACAAAAATCAAAACAAACTGTATTATATTATAAATTGGAATTTTGCATGTTTAATTCTTTTATTTCAAAAATTTAACCTAAAACCGTTAAAATTGCTCTTGATCATGAAGATTGGGTTTAAGGAATGTAAGAAGAACTTAATGAATTTTATCGAAACAATGTGTGGAGATTGGTTACCGCTCCAGAAAATGCATTTGTGGTTGGCATGAAATGGGTATTCAGAAATAAGATGGACAAAGAAGGAAATGTAATTCACAGTAAAACACGTCTGGTCATTAAAGGATATTGTCAAGAAGAAGGAATCGATTATGAAGAGACGTTTACACATGTGGCTAGACTTGAATCAGTTTGCATATTTCTAGCCTATGCTACTCACAAAAACTTTGGCGTATACCAAATGGATGTAAAGTGTGCATTTATGAATGGAGATCTTGAAGAAACTGTCTATATTGAACAACCTCTAGGTTTTGTTAATGAAAATTTCTGAATCACTGTTATAATCTAGACAAAACAGTTACAGTCTTAAAAAAGCTCCACGTGCATGGTATGAGACCCTAACTCATTTTCTAAAACAATCCACATTTAAACAAGGTTTAGTTGATCCTCTCTTCTTTCAGAAGAAGAAAGGTGACCAATTACTGATAGTTCGGATTTATGTTGATGACATTATTTTTGGATCAACTAATCCCAACTTAACTGCTGAATTCCAAAACATAATGGAAACAAATTTTGAAATGAGTTCTATGGGTAAAATTAACTTTTTCCTTGGTTTAAATATAAGACAGAGTTCGGAGGGAATATTCATCAATCAATAAGCATTCACAAAGGCGTTATTAGCCAATTTTGGAATGGTGGATAATCCAAAAGTCAAAGTCCATCTAGCGTTCAGAATGAAACTCACTCCTTCTATTAGTATACCAGCAACGGATATTACCTTGTTTCGTTAGATGATCAGATCTTTGTTGTATCTGACATCTAGTCATCCTGAAATAATGTTTGTTGTCTGTTACTGTGCTAGGTTTCAAGCGAATGTTAAGAACATATTCTGATATCTGAAACGAACATCGTCACTAGGTTTATGGTATCCTTCCAATTTAGGATTCTTTGTGCAAGCGTACTCCGATGTTGACTTAGGGGCTGTGGCCTTGATCGTAAAAGCACATCAGGTGGATGTCAATTTCTGGATGACAAGCTTGTTAGTTGGCAATCTAAGAAGCAAACCTTTGTGTCATTATCCACAGGAGAAGTAGAATACATTGCAGCAATATCATGAACACCAGAAGTGGTTTGGATTCAGAATCAACTAAGAGACTACGAAATCAATATGAAACAAATTCCATTATATTGCGATTCCGAAAGTGCCATACGAATCAACCACAATCCGGTACAACATTCTAAGATAAAGCATATAGCACTGAGATACCACTTTATAAAGGACCATGTCGAAGATGGAAATGTGGAAGTTTATTTTGTTAGATCCTCAAATCAGTTAGCATATATCTTTAGAAAGGCCTTACCAGAAGTATTATTTAATCAGATTCTACAAGGGTTGGGAATGATTGAAGTTGACTCAGTTTTGAAATCCACTTCTTAATCGTCAGATTTACTATAGCATTCAAAATGGTTCCGATCTTCGAAAGCTATTGTTCAATTCCGACTTGTTCCGATCTTCGGAATGGTTATGAAGTTACTGTTCATTAGGATTCCAGAATCTCTTTCTAAGTCTTTTGTTCCCTTCTCTACCTTTGTTCATTTCTTTAATTTTGTTCTTTTCAGAAAAACAAAATTCCAAAAATATTTTATTTGTTTATGTATATTCTTTTAAAAATGAAAAACATCAAAAATATTTTCTTTTCTAAGAATCTAAATACATTTATGAATTCTAGTCTGCAACAGGGAATTGACGGTTGGATTCATAACTTCTTTCTACCATATCTTATATCAACTTCCATGTAGTACCTTGATTATTAGAACAAAACCAGTTTCGGTATAGGGCTACGAAATTCTTATTAATGATCGCAAAGTCATTGTCAACATGATTTTACGTGAAACTCCCAAGCATTCGACACCTAATCTATTATTCTGTCTCGTAACCCTTAAGACTCTGAAGTTTTACCACTGAGGTTTAGGTTACAAAACATTTGTGTTTATGATGTTGAAATTGTTATCACCATGATTTTGAGTGAAACTGAAAACTCCGAACACCTTTTCTAAACTGACGGTGAACAATTTATTGTTCTAGATATTTACCCAATGAATTGATGGTGAGCAAATCATTACCAACTGAAATTAACGAATAAAACCTTTTGGTTTTTACCTTTGAATGTTCAAAATGTCATTTTTCCTGTGTGTGATCTTAATGAAATGTTCTTGTCCCAAGTCATTTCTTCCCAAAAGATCCAAGTTTTTAATTTTTTTTTGAGATTTCCGAAAGACCCGACTACTTTAAAAGAATATCCAAGGCTTACTTGTTTTTATGGCTACACTGGTCAAACAAGTACTTCTTACAAATCTTTGGACTTATGTTAAGTTTTAGAATTTGTTAGAAGTTGAAACCATCCGTTAAGCTTTTTAAATGATGCCTTTCATTGTTTTTAAAAAAACTAATGATTGTAATTCAGTGTGACACCACACAAGCACTTCAGAGTCTCTCTTGACTCAGAAGGAAGAGATTGTTGCTTGGGATCCACCTGCTTTTCATATCACATTTATTTGATATCACAGAATCACACACATTAAGTTTGCTTTATTTCTTTTTCTTTGGCACACTCTTGCACTAAAATCCTTGTGGTTTTAAAAATTATGGGTTCTGTTCTGATTGGTTACTTTATTTCTGAAGAATGGATCTTAGTTGTAATTCTAATGGATACTGTTTCGACTTATGCAAAGCTGGAGGGTAGATCAATGATTCCAAAAGTGGGGATTCCGACATTGCCTTATTATCTACAATGAAAATTCAAATCTTGGCGCGACATTTGGATTTCCTTATCAACCTCTTTTCTGTTATAACGGCTCTAACACTTGATTGATGAATTGGCATATTTTTATTGGTTGGTTTTTTGGTACTTAGGGAACGTGAAACGACAGTTTCTCTATCTACTCATCATCTTTCATATAAAATGTTTTCATATGGTTTATTTTCTCTCACCGCAAACACTGCTCATGAATTTTCAAAGCAAGGCAAGCCCTCTACTGTTCATCTTCTTCTTCGAACTTCCATGGCTTCCTTAGAACAAGTTTCATTCGCTGATCAATCTGTATCAGTGATCATGTTGGCTGTCAAACCAAACCAAAACCTCATCATCGACCTTAATGCGTCTTGCTACAATGGCTTGATCAAACCTTTGATCGAATACTTGAAATTCTCGCCATTGATGAAAGCTCTCACAATGTCTGAGATGTTCCACCTGTTCATCTCTCCAAAGCTTTCTCTACTGATCTCTACAACAAAACTGAAGATGTAATCAACTTTGAGGTTCCAACCACAAAACATCAATCTCAAAGCTCCACTTCTGCAAACTTCTAGGGATTATTACGCCAGGAGTTAGTATCGTTCTTGAATCAATTCCTGTAACCTACTTGATTGAGATGTTTTTCCAGATAGACTACTTTGGGAATATTTCATTGCTTTAAAAATTTAGGAAATCCTTCTTACCTCCGATATGGAATGGATTATTCACCCTTCTATTCAAAAGCTTGTCAGAAAGGGTTTCAAGTTGTGATAGTGCAAGCAAGCTATTCTGTACCATGATTTATGGGTTATACCATGGCATCAACCTCGACTATCAGTCAATTATTTGGGCTCAATTCGTTCAAAGCACTCGTTCCTTTACACGACACACATAAATTTCGTGTGCCCGCTTTTGGTTGATTGTTGTCAACAGAGCCGTAATTCACTTTAAGGTTCATCTGATGAAAGATACCCTCATAGCTAAAATTTCGATGCTCCAAACTTTCATATTTGTCATCTCGCATCCACACAACTTTGAATTTGTTGGTTCTATTCTTGAATCCATATTGGAAAATGTACCACTGGACAATGCCATTATTAGGGCTTATCGGAAAATGCCCTATTCTGGTGTTCGTCCCATCCCAATAGAATTGCAAAAGATTATTAATGAAGGGGACAAACTGAAATGAGGTGGAAAAAGGAAGACCAAGACTGCTCCTTCGGAGGGAATCAAAGTACCAAATAAAAAAAAGAAGCTAGTTCAGAAACCAAGGTCTCCATCTTTAGCTCTTCAAGAGCAATCTAAAGAAAGGACCGAATCAGATATTCAGGGGACGTCAATTCTCTGAAATGAAGAGGATGATACCGCTCACACTTCCAAGCTAGCTCATATTGAAACAATTCCAAAGGTATCTACTCCACAATCTTCCACCATTCCTACGTCTGATATTTTTGAATCTATTATCTGATAACCATTTCTAAATCTCACCACTCCACCTCCACCACCACCACCACCACCACCATTTAATCCTCCAACATTACCAACTTCAACCTTAAACCTCACCTCCTTTATACAAATATCATCCATCCCTCCTCTACCACAAAGGATTTCTGTTGAAACATCCCTTCCTCAGGTCTCAATCCTAGTTTCCTCACTTATCTTCACAGACTTAACAGTTCCTACAACATCATCTATTTCCACTCCACCAAAAGTTCCGATTGTCAAATCCTTTTTGGAGGAGATTCGAACTTCAGGTATCCCTAGTAACACATATGATGTGGTATCAAACTCCAACATTGGTGTGACTTATGAACAACCTTCATCTATGGTTCGTCCTTTTGATCATGATACTGACGTTTTATTTGGAGATGATCCAGAACCAATTACTGATTTTGTCTTCCAATTATTCTCTGTCAATTTCAATAGTGATGATGATGACACTCCGATGACCAAAGGTTAGTTCTAGCAGTTGAACGAAAAGCTTGATTCAATTATGGAGTATTCACATGCCTTCTCTTCCATGAAATGGGAAAATCGACTCACAACCCATTGAGCAACTATGGAAATGCTTGCATCATCTAATGCAAAAGTCCTTGAAGAATCTATAAAGGCTGCACAAGATTCAAAAATGAAAATCTCAAAAGCTATAACAAAGGTCTAGCACTTACGACAAGAAATCAAGGAATTCATTGCTAGCTTCTAGACATCTTCTGAAAAGAATATTGTTGATATGAAGTAATAAAATGTTTTTGATCTTCTTTGAAAGCGGAAAAACAAGCTCTCGCAGCACTCCGTGAAGACATTAAGCTTAACAATACTGATCTCAATTTATCAATCACTCAACAACTCACCAAGATACAAAATTACTTGGCTGCTGAGAACTAGATTATGGATGCTCTGGATGAGCAAATGCAGAAAACGAAGGTTCTTAATGAAAAGTTGAATTATGCTTCAACTAATATTTCCAAGCTTGAAGAGGAGAAAATTTCAGTTAAAGCCCGTACTTTTAAAATCAACCAATAATTTTTGGGAATCGTTGAGAACCAAAATGCTCCATTCACTGACTCAGTGCATCAATCTCTCTTTAGAAAGCTCAAACCTGTGTTTGCATTGCCCAATCAAATCCAAGGTGTTTCAGGAAATGGGGCTTCTCTAAAACAAGGGGGAGGAGGAAATCTTGAAAAATGAGTTTGATCGGAATGATAATGAAGCTTTAGGATCAAGAAAAGGCAAAGACAAATTTATTTTTGAAGAGGATACTAAATAAAATATAATGATGATTGAATGCGAAAGGGTTGCAATAGAGAAACGGGATAAAGAGTTTGATGAACTCAATGCCCTCCAGAAGAAACTTGATGCTAAAGAAGCTGAAGTAAAAAAATTTGTAATTGATTCTTGAAAATTAGAAATCCTTTTTTCCTGCCTGGTCTATTGAAAGTAGACAAAAGGAAGCTATTGACGATCCTAATCTTTATTGGTTGGATCCAACCACCTCCTTCGACATCAATAATGATGTAGAGTTTCAATTGGATTTTTACATGACTCCAAGAGCCTTTCTTTTTATATGATTTGAAAAGATTGAAAAATCTATGAGTCATGGAGCTTAAAAAGAATTGTGGGAATGAAGGTTGGATTTCCAGTTTAGATAGAAGAATTCATGAATATACAATTGAAAGGCTTCCGAGGTGCCAATCATGTTCTGAAAAAATTCACTTTGGCTGATCTGCCATTCATGAATCCTTATGATTAGATCTCACTGTTCTACATTATTACGAAGGATATGAAGAAGTATGAGCTCATATCTAAGCACTTTAAGTGGTTGATCAAGTGCTACATTTTGGAAATTGCAAAAATGGATGTGGAAATTTCTTCTGTTCTAAAAAGAGACCAATATTAAAGCCACAAGATAAACCGGAAGATATATAGCATTTGAAGGGAGGGATCATTAACAAGAAGCACTAGAGTGTTGTGTACAACATGAAGGAAGGTGAAGTGATCAAGAATTGCATGTTCTATCTAAGGGATAAGCATTTGTATTCCAAAAGTGTTATGAACTCTATTGTTTCAAGAGTTGAAGCGAATAAATCCAACTCTACTATGGATGTCAAATGTATTGCGGACATGATTCGTTGGTATCTGTCTGTCCAATATTCTCTTTTGAAGATTTTGCTTAAGAACTTTGTCGCGCAAAGGCAATGATGAAGACTGCCTTCCAATTTGACACAAAGGGGAGATTTTTAAGTCTATTCAGTTTTGTGAAAATGTTTGTTTTCGGATTTATGTTTAATTCCGATTCCGAAATGGGGCTTGTCTATTTTCAAAATTTTTATATTGTTTAGTCTATATGTGGCGTATGCATGTAGCATCTACGGGTTACACCTTTTTCACCAGCACTAAAAGAATAATCTCGTCTTCACAAACTGTTCTATTGCTATGATTAATAGAATTCAAATCTTTTCAATCATCATCGTTCCATATCATTGATTTGTCTTGTAATATAGAATCTATTGATCAATTTATTTTTCTTTTAGTATGCTCTTGCCTTTACCTTTGGGGATGCATTCAATCTAGCCGCTTTGTTTTTCTACGGGAAATCTTTCGAAATCTACCCCTTATCTCCACATCCGTAGCATACACTGTCATTGAACATACAATGCTTGGAATAGTAACCGGTCCTCCCACACTTAAAGCATGTCACTTCTTCATCGCGTCTCCTAAAGTGCTTCTTCCTACACCTACCACACCATTTGGCTTCACTGCTACCCCTAGACTTCTTGTAATCTGGGTCACACTTTGTGAATCTTCCTTCCTTATTAGTCCTCGAATATTCCTCAAGCTTCCTTTTTTCTCCTACTTCATTTTCTTCCAGGCCCTTCTCCCTTGTCTGGGTCTCAACATTCCTAGTTGCTCAAATAGTGGCTTTCAATGTGGTTGCTTGTTTGACCATTGGACCAAATTCCCCCGGTAGTCCATTAGCAAACTTATTGACCTTGGAGATCTTGGTGGGAACCAGGTAAGGAACCAATTTCATATTCCCTGTATTAGCTTCAACATACTTGTTGACGGACGTCTTGCCCTTCTTTAAGTTATGGAATTCATTGTTAATATCCGGAAGGTCTTGTTCAGAGAAATATTCTCTCTTTAACAGCACAAGGAATTCTTCTCACAACATCCTACTGACCTCTCCTTTAGGCATGGTATCAACCAACAAATTCCACTTGTTTAATATCCCAATCTTTAGTTGTCGGACTACAAGGACAATCCTCTGTCTGTTGATGCAGTCACAACTCTCATATACCATCTTCATCCTGGAGATCCAATCTGTACCTTCCACTAGTGTTGGGCTTCCAGAAAGACTCGATGGATTGGCAGCCATAAAGTCCTTGTACTTGCATCACTATCCTTCAATCCCCACCTTAGGTTTCTTCCTTCTAACCACTTGGGGTTCCAAATGACTCACTTTCCTACTGTAATTTCGTTCTTCATATTACTTGTCATTGAGCTCAGGTCGTATGATAGGCATAATAGGTTCTCTTCTAATTTATTTAATGAGCTATCTCATTTATTCTTTCTGTTATGCTAATAGAACCCTAAGCATTGCCATTGTGATAGTTTTAATTACTGGTACTACTCCATGTGCACGTTCGACTACAGGGGGCTTAGGTTGCTGATTTCCATTACCGTTTCCTAATCCACTATGAGTTCTCACCATGATGTTATAGATATCAAAACGGTGTTTCGCGTATTGATATGAGAATATAGATAGAGAAATTTTAGATGCATAATTTTCCTTATCACTCCGAAAAATTATATGCTAGTTCTAATACTGTAATTAAACATTTAGAAACTTGAACACATAAAATTTACTAATTCTATTTTGGCAACATAACTTGGATCTAATCAGGTAATAACATCCTACGTAGGCAATCTTATAGCATCATAAGGAATTTTATAGCACGCATAAATCATTCAACACATAAAAGCAATTTAGGCATTACTCCTAAAGTAAGCTAATGCATGTTTCAACTCAGGTGTATTACCTAAATTGTTAGAGAAACTCATCTCACGATCATCTCTTAGCATTCTAAGTATAAGTCTAAAAATTCTCTAAATTCCTAGTTCACTTAAATTAATACTCTGATACCAATTGTGACATCCCCAAATTTACGGTCATTTTAAAACTTTATGTTTACGTTTAAAACAAAGTTTATTTATGAAATGCAGAATTTGGTCCCATAAATTGTTTCTAAAGAAAAGTTTTTCATTGATATTATAAAATATTGGGATGTCATAACTGATACAAAACATAAGCATAAACAAGGGCCTTACATCATCATTTATTCTATAACATATATTTCCTCAAATCTCTAATCGGGTCTGAACGTCAATATCTTTGTACCGCTTCCTGTGATACAAAGAAACTGACTGGGTCAGGTTGAAAAACCTAGTGAGTAATGGTTTTCAACACACAATAATATAGATAATATGTTTTATTATCAAACAATTAACCCGATTATCCAACCTCATTTTCTTATCTATTTTGCCCTAGGGGTTTATCCTAAGGTTTATTGTTTTCATCGTTGTTGACAATACTTATAGGGATTTCTTCACAATACATGTCACTAGGTTTCTTTCTATTATTATTATTCATAAGGAATGTCTTAAGGATCATCTTAATCATCGTTACTGATAGTACTGTTATAGGGATTTCTTCGTAGTATGTGTTAGTCGTAGAGTTGTAACACCCCGTTTATTTAATAAATAAATAAAACAAATTGATGAATGAATCATAGTCCTAAAATTAATAATTATACATCAAAGGTTGGTCTCGAGGAGCTAATTCTCATACTTAAGAGATTTTTTTTTTGGGGGGGGGGGGGTTAAATTGTAAAATCCAGACTTAATTTGTAATAATTAGTGAAGGCAGGGACTGAATGGTAACTTATGGACTTCGTTTGAAGAGATTTTGGAGGCTAAGGGGCGGTATGGTAAATTAGGGATCTAATTTGAAATGAATTTATGGAAGCAAGGGTCAAAAGGTAAAATTCAGACTTAAATTGAAAACAAAATCTATGAGGAGGGGCTGATCTTGGAAAAGGGTATCAAAGTTATATGAGGACACGAGATATACCTGGTGACCCCATACCCATTGTTGATGAACACAAACCCTAAAATGAAGGGAGAATCTACAATCGCCACCCCTCAAGGAACTCTCCAGCTGCCATCCGATTCCTTCATGTTTTCTTCCCAGACGAAGATCCAAGCGGCCACCATCGTCCATGCCGTCGACAAGAGCCACCCTCCAGCACGTCGACATCCAGCTATAGACGAGAACGAAGATCGGGCGTCCTCCTCTTCTTTCCTCTTGTTACCGCTGCCGCCGAACGTTGCAGCTGTTGTCTTCTGGCAAGAACAGGTCAACGACTTGACTGTCGGGCACGACTGTTAGCTCCTCCATTCTCCTTCTCCTTCTTTTTCTCCCATCGCCATCCTAGAGTTCCAGCCGCTGCCTTTCTAACTGCTACCTTGCCCCTGAAGCACCAACGTAACCCTAACTGTCGGTGATGTCGTGAGTGGATGGAAGAATCTCTATGGACGACGCCAAGCTGTTGAAGACGATGTCAAGCTGCGTGCTGCCGTCTTCAGACACACCTGCTCTAATTGTTGTATGCCACCACACGAAGGTTGTGTTGGTGTGTATTCTCTTGGGGTTCGACTTCTCGTTTGAAGTGTGTGTGCGTTTTCTGTTGGCCGGAAACTGAGGAGATAACCACCATGGCCGCTAACCATGGTGGCTGCCGCCATGAACCACCACCAGCCACCACAAGGGTGGTTTTGTGTGCGTGTGATTGTTTTTAGTGTGTGTGTGTGTGTGTGTGTTTAAT